AGTGTGAGTGTTTTAGGCCTCAACCACAACTGCTCTGGGCAAAAAACACAGCATGGAGAAACATGTTTGTGGACATAAACATGTTTATCTTAAAGAATGAATCTTCACTTGACCCATCACACTTTGTTTGCCAGTCTCATCATTGTCCTATAAAAGTAAAGTTTTGAATGATTTTTGTAAATTATTATCATCTACAGTATAACAAACTTTATGTGGATTTATTGATATGTAAAGCTTAGTTACTGTACCATTGACTTTCATATTGAACAGATATTTCATTGCCCCTGCCTGCACCATGTGATCTATTGTTGAGTGTTTGTTATAAGGGTAGAAAAGCAGAACATATACTGACATCCACATCAACTTATTGTACTTCCTAATTGCACCCCTTTCCCTCAAGCCCTAGGTGTGATGGTGTATTCAGTGGACCCTGGTATTGTGAACACTGAAATTTTAAGGCACATCAGGCGCCCTCTGTCGGACATAATCAAGACCTTTGGTTTCCTGGTCAAGACTCCTGCAGAGGGAGCCTACACCAGCATCTACTGCATTGTCACACCTGAGAACCAGCTGCTCACTGGAGGACACTACAAGTCAGTTTGAAATGCTATTGCAGTAGCATCAGTACTCAGATCAGTTCATTCAAATTAGCCAAACCATGCATGTATAAAAACAACTGGATGTTAGTGTTGCTTTGATAGTATGGACAGTAATGTTTATAGAAATAGTAGTTATTAACATATATGTCAAAATCACATTTTTTGTACTATTTCCATCACTCGTCGTTCATTCTCCTTATTAATCCTGCAGCAACCACAACAGAACAGGATTACAGAAAGAAGAATATTATAATGGGATTTTGAGATTGCATATGCCTTTCCTTTCCTACCCTCTACTTCTTCTCTTGCCTTTCCTCACAGAGACTGTGCCAGCGCGAGGAGCTGCAGGGCAGGTCAGGATGATGGCACTGCCTTAAAGTTGTGGGCTGTGAGCTGCCACCTGCTGGGCATCCAGTGGTAGTAAACCTGCAGACATTAAAATGATTCAGTGTGCTCTGAAGCAATATTTATCAGCTCATCATCATATCAGCTGAGTTTACCAAATGCTAAAAAATGTAATGTACATGATGGACAAAACTGTATGAAGTAGGCAAACTGAGCCTGATCTACTCACTGTAATAGAGTTTGAATGGTAAAACCCAAGCCTGAGGAAAGGTCGAAGAAAGATGTGATCACACATAATAAAAAATGTCACTGATATTCCAAACTGCTTGTGTGTTTTAATAACATGCTACAAACATTAAAATCTCCTCAACAGAGCTGATATTGTGAAAGAGTCATTTGGTATTTAGCAAGATTATGTTTGTTCCCCCCTCATGACTGGGATTAGGTATTTGCAGTCACGTCCAATCAGACTTAGGAGGACCTCAAGTGGCCAGGAAACGACAATGCAGCATTATCTCTGCATTACAGGTGACCATGTTACCATGTTAAAGCATAATTAGTCATTACTGCTGCTAATAAACCTTCTCTTTAAGTCAGCTAGTTCCATGTTACATTTAATGCCCCGGGGATGCTACAGTGGCTAAAATGTTTTTGACTGAATTCAAATTCCTGAGATTTTATAACCCTCTCTTGAGACAGTTCCGCCTATATTACTTGAGGCTCACCCACTGCAGGAGGAAGAAGGAGGGATTGTAAGTTGTGAATCAATTACGCGTGCGCCCCCTCCTGGTTGGCGCAGTCCTGTACGCGGCGCTGTGGGGAGAGATGACAAACTGGAAAACTACAGGACAGTTGTAAAGACTGAGGGAAGCATACTGTTGATTTCTTGGTGAAGTGGTTCGTTGGTCTTGTAGTGTTACTATTGTGGAAAAATGTACTGCAGGTAGGAGACACAGCCAGCAAAGAGCGGCAAAAGTTAGGTGTCCAGCTTTGCGAGAAAATTTAAGAAGATTACATTCCACCGTGCTACGATTTGGCAGATTATAATTGTGTAAAATGTACAGTTTATGTAGATTTACACAACTTTTCTTTGTCTGTAAAGTATTTATGTAGAGTAACTGACAATTGTTTAATTAACTACTAGGGTTGTCGATCTGCGCAACTGTTACACTGAGTTTAAACTGAATGATCTTTTATTCTTGCAGGAAAATGGTGTTTTCATATTATAAGCACAATGATGGGATATAAGTAAAGTGCTGCTGCGTGTGGACTACACTGCAAACACCAATGTGTTCAAATGTAACAAAGTGTCTTTATGTTTATATGAAACATAGCAAGTTACAGTAGTACAAAAAATTACAGCGAGAATCTTGTTTTTCAGTGAATGTGTCTAAAGAGATGAAACGGGTGACTGACAGCAGTAGCAGTCGTGACTGGAAAATAATACAAAATACTGATTTTCCATGCATCAGAGTTTTCTCTTTATTAATGCTTTACTTGTTGTGTATCTTGTTCAGGAGTGTGTGTTTTAACCACTGGACATCTGAGGAGAGGCTAGATGGGAAAACAGTCATTATCACCGGAGCCAACACTGGTGTTGGCAAAGAAACAGCCCGGGACCTGGCAAGAAGAGGTAGTGCTACACAGGGTTGTCTCTCCAACTGTGTGTCTGCCTCGGTTTGCTTTTGGCTCAGTCACACTGATAGGTACCTGATTGCTTTTTAACTGTGACTCACACATTGCACTTCAGTGGAGCTCTTAATACTTGGGTGGTTTAAAGCTATATAGTGTGAGCTTTAACAGTGCCCTCTCTCCCCAGCCCTCCGCCAGAATCCAGTTTAATCCTACTTAATTGTTTATTCAGTGTAAGTGATATATATATATATATATATTATATTGAGAAAATCTAGCAGTATCAAGTGATTTTCTAGCTACAGCATACCTTATCATTTCCAAAGTAAACAGGAAAGAGATTGAAATCTCTGTTATCTGAAATGAGAATCTCGCTTAACACTTGTCCACGTGAAAGACAAATGGACGACAAAGCATCATGTGGACAGAGGGAGCATTGTGTAGGTTTGCTTCACTCCTGTGCCAGACAGGAGATGGGAGGGTGCACCCAGCAGTGTGTGCGCGCACACACACACACACACACACACACACACACACACACAGTGGGACAGTGGGTAATATGAAATCAGGTTCTGCATATGCGATCTAGTTTGTTCATTTGTCTGCACTTGGAACGGTACCTCCTCTATTTTAAGAACAGCCACTTACACTTGTTAAAAAATATACATTTATGTTGTAAATAAAATAACACAACTTGTAAAGTTTTTTTTTAATCAAATATACTGAAAGGATGGAAGGAGAGAGAAAAGTGAAATTAGAAGTGGAAGAAAAACCACAATAACAGGACAGAGTGATTGCACAGTACCACAGAAAAATAACTGCTCCTTGTTTTAGGTGAATACTCTGGCAAACTATGCCCTGTCGTTTCAGTAAACGTGATTATATAATATGCTGACAGCATGATTAGAAGGTAGTTGCTTGGAGCACTGGCCAAACTGAGTCCCAACTTTTTGAATGTTGCTTTCTTTTCTGAAAAGTGAGGGAATTCTTTCACAATTACTGTAACTGAATATACAAAGTATGATCAGGCTTGACTTAAATCATTATATGCATTTTGCCCCTATTGCTTTCTGATATTATATATACACACATAACACTATGTAATCATCTGCTGAATGATTTTTAAGTTGACTCAGTAACCCTCCGTTCCCGATGTTTGTTTGCTGTTTTATTTAACTGAATGAATGTGGCTGCCTGGGAACTGTGTGATGAATTGGGTTTTCTAAAGGGAAGCAGCGAGGGAGAAACAAAGACAGCTTGATGGGTTACAGACGCTACGTTCCAACTGATTAATGGCTCATCTCTTCCATAATTACGGGGCACAGCAGCTATTTTGTATGTGCGTATGTGTTTGCACGAGTCTGTGTGTGTAGTGCTGGTGGGTGTGGGGGGAGCCCCGCTCTGGGCTTATTAAGGAGAATGCATCATAATTTGCATCAGAGGTGAGTGAGTACGACAGTTGAGAGGGTCTTATGTTCATGTGAGCTGAGCAGCTGGCTAAATGACAGTTTGGAAAACATTAGGAGATATTCAAAATTACACTGAGTGATTTAAGTAGTTCCTCCTTAATTGACATTGGTAGCTCTGTATGCCTGCAAACAAGCAAAGCTATTATACTTTGGAGTAATGAAACTTTGAAGGATTTAAATCTCTTGTGTGTAGAATATGTGCCTTAACATTTTTTTAGGGGCACGCATTGTCATGGCATGCAGAGACCTGGAGAGGGCAGAAGAGGCACGGACAGACATTTTAGAAGACACAGGAAATGAGAATGTGGTCATCAGGAAATTGGATCTGTCTGATATGAAGTCCATCAGAGCATTTGCTGAGCTCATCAAAAAAGGTAGGTAAGTAACCAGTAATATCTCCACTTGCTGTACACATTTTCTTTCAAGAAAAGAGAATATCCATATGCTCTTGAAACAGTGATGTTTTCCAGGGCGGGTGGAGCTCTGAAGGTTTGTTTGTCATTTGTCACAGGGTTGGTGTTTTGATGCTTGGCTCCACGTGTCTATGAGCAAGATGTGGACTCCAAATTTTGATTGGTAGACCATTTCTTTGCACAGTAGCTCTGGCTTCACTGGCATGTGAACTGGCAAACTGTATTGTGAATACAGTCAATTTACTGAATATAAACTACATTTATGCCATTTAGTTAACGTATGATATTTCTGGGGAATTTAACTCTTTCCTATATTTTAATGTCTCCTTTATGAGTCTGGACAGGCATGCACGTAAATTGCAACTTGATTGGTTGGCAGAGATGGTAAGTTTGTTTGTGTGGTACTGTATGTTTCAGAGGAGAAACAAGTGAATGTCCTGATAAACAATGCAGGCATCATGATGTGCCCCTACTCCAAGACGGTTGATGGTTTTGAAATGCAGTTAGGGGTCAATCATTTAGGTAAGTCATACTGAAATTTATAGTCTCTATACTTGTATTTGACACTTCTTGGCCATATGCATTTTTCGATAACCTGTGAAGCAGCCATAAAATGTAGGGAAGTGGTTTGAGTAACTGACATGACCAAAAAAAGAACTTTAAAATGTTATTTTGTACCACTTAGTCTTGATAACGAATGTAACAAATGTTGGCTGTCATATTTATGAGTGTTTTAAAACTGGCAATAGAAAACAATTGTAAAGACAGAAAACTTACTCAAGACTGATCTGAAACTTTTCTCCTATTCATTTGTGTTTGTGTAAGGGGGATGGGGGTGTTGTGTCTCATCAATAATGTATTGTGGTGAGTTACAGTATGTTGATTTGGAAAAACAACCACATGCGACTCCAGCACCACATGCATCACATCAACAGCACAAAGTAAAGATTCAGCCATGCTGTCATGATGTATGCCATTGAATCTGGAAAGAGAATGAATGAACAACTCATAGCAAATGACTGAAAGAAAGAGAAAAAGGCCACCACAGGGGATTACACAAAACAGGACAGAATGAGACAGAGAGAGAAATTAGACCTTGACCACTTCCACTTATTTTTGGGATTAGTACTATGAAAATGGAAACCACTTAGTGTTAGCGATATTTCAGCAATTTAAAAGATACAGTGCTCTCTGTTCAGCACTAAAAAACACAAACCAAAGGACCTGCGAGCCAACAACTATTAGTTGTATACATAAGAAACACATATGGAGTCTAGATAGCATCTTGTCTGCACAGTTATTGCTACAAAGTGGTACAGTTGTCTTATCTCTACAGCAAATTTTGACTGAATGCCTGTGTGACTTTCT